TTTTATTTGGATAGATTTTTATTTAGTCAAGAATCAATATGTTCAATCAGGATTAAAAGAAAGGGCCAAATTTCCGTAAGGTAGTTCCATTAAAATGTGTTTGTATACTGGTGGTTTGTAACCATCACAAAATAAAAAAAACTTATAGTTTTGAAATTTAACCAAGATGTTTTTTGGATATTCCTTTTCAACATATCTATAAACCCCACATGTGGGGGGCCATTTTGAAATGTAAGTTCCTTTTCTCGGGTTTTCCTCAATATCTCGAAAACTATCAACTTTTGCATAACCACTTATAATAACAAATTGAAAGCTCATTAAATTTCCTACAGAAAACATACAAAAAGTTTTTTCTAGCATTACCCGTTTGGGAGATATATAAATATATATACATAAGCACAACGTGCAGGAACTATAGTTTCTCCATTCCCCACCAGGGCTTATCACCAGATCCAGCCGTGGGTGGGGAACCCTCTGGATCCAAAGGAATGGGGTTTGGTCTTTTCAATTTGTCTGGCTGATGAAATGTAGTTTTGTAATAGATAATAAAAAATAAAAAAATACTATTTATGCGAATAAATGTATACAATAACGATTGAATGTATGCCATAATGGTCTAGTGGTAAGGATACTTGGCTTGTCAGCGGGCGGCTCGGTTTCGATTCCTTGCATAAAACGTTTTTTTTTTTCAAAACAAAAGTTAGGTTATTTGTAGGTTTAGATTTGTCTTCTCCATTTTTTTTTAAAAAGCAAAGTTGTACAAAAAAGCTGCAGAATTTTTCGCGTCTGCTATTTACGAATATGCAGCCCGGATAGGTTAATACCGAGGTTAATACTATTAAATTTTAAAAAATCATATCCCGATAACGAAGAATTTGCGGACCCATGTTCATAGGACATTTTCGATTTGAATTAAGGAACACACAGTAAAATTTTCTCCCTTTTCTCGCGGAACATCCTGTATAAGATACTGTAAATTTTTCTTGATTTGTATAAAAATAATGATCGGTTCAAATGAGAATATTCCTATAAATTATGTATATATTATTAATTAATGCAATGCACTACTCTAATTTTTTATGTGACCTGTTGAATACTTGGTATTTTCGAGGGATGCGATATGTATAAGGTTCATTAAAACTAATTTTATGTCCGGCCAGCGTTTAGCGCATTTTCCAAAAGGAAAATGAACGCATTGTCCGCACTTTGTCCGTCTGTCCGCCTGTACCACTACTAGTCGCCCAGTTTAAGCTTTTTTGATGTAGTTTCTTTCTTATATGGTGTAGCACAGCCCAGAATGACAAAAGATTTTTTGAATGTGGGATTTGGGGATGTGCTCCACCGTATAAGAAAAGCCACAAACGAAAAAGTTTAAATTGGAGGACTGGTAGTGGTACAGACGGACAGACTGACAGACGCACAAAGTGCAGACGATAGCGTTCATAAAAATACAGTCCACTAACGACAGTCTCCCACACCCCCAAACACAAATATTATACCAATATTAAGAAACAAGTTCCATAAACTTAGGAAACGAGCCGCGTAGAGGCGAGATTTCTAATGTCTGAGTACGATGAGGCGTCTTATGGAACAAGTTTCTTATACTGTTCTATTCAGAAGAGATTTTCGAGAGATTTCTTTTATTTTAGATAAATAATTTAGGGAATTTTGACGTAGAAGTTGCAATAGTCCAAATTGTGTTAAATTGGCAGTATGGAGTCGCAAATAATGCTCACATGTAAATAGAGCAGTCTCTACATTTATGACTAACATAAAAGTACAGGAGTTCATTTGTCCTTATTTGTCATTAGCGATCACGAATGATCGACGTCATATGCATTTCGATCCAAGATAGTGTGATGAGAGTACATAAATCAGCCTACTGATATAGTTCATATTAATAAAGCCAACAAGTGTATTAGCAATAAGCTGCTTCTTTAAACTTGATCAAACAATGTGTTTATGGACGTACGAGTATCATAATTATCCGTTTTCCATTTCGGAAATAACAAAGTGATGCTAGAGATAGCCGATAGGAGATTCGATGGTGGCCATCCGTCTGTCCGTGAGCACGATAACTGCCAAACGCTTGAGCCGATTTGGTTAAAACTTTGCACAGTTGACCTATTGAAAATTGGTGAAATCCAATGATCCCGTAGTAGACCGGGAGGCAGCGTACATAGTAACTAAACCATAAGCGACAAATAATTCGACAATACAGGCTGAAAGTACGTTGAAAACTAATAATAAAACCACTGGTCTGCCAGTCGTAAGTGGCAGCATTAACTTGGGGCGGCGCTGAATAGGTGACTTCTTTAGGTGATCAACTAAATTACCAAACTATAAGGGTCACGGAAAAGATTTGTATGAAGAAATCCCATTTTTTCCATAGTTTTCAAATATGCTATGGCAGACGATTCCAAGTGCAGCGTTGGTAGCGAAAGACGCCCTCCAATGTAGGGAAAAACACCCCTGAACTAAACCATGAGGACCGTATAAAAATTATACATAAAAAATTCCTCTTTTTGTCACTACTTTAAAATATATCCTGGCAGACGATATTAAGTGTAGCTTTAATAGTGGCAGACGTAGGTATAGTAAATCTCAGCGAGTGCGAGCGTGTGAGAGATAAGCGCACGAGAGCACAACGAACAGAGATAGCTATATTTACGCACTGCTTGGAGTTACCAAACGAATTAAATTAGGGAAAATAATAAATTGTTTATTTCGCGATAAGATTGTCGGTATTTCTTGAATTCTTCTCAGACTGAGAAACAGAAAACTTGAAGAGAAAGAAGATAGATCTTCAGCTCGTTCTAAACTATAAGGGTCACGGAAAAGATTTGTATCAAGAAATCCCATTTTTTCCATAGTTTTCAAATATGCTATGGCAGACGATTTCAAGTGACTCCAGTTCCGTTGTCTCTATGCAACATTGATGGATCGATGATTAAAATCAACAAGTTTGTTTTGCTGAAACTTTTTCGGAAGTATGATTTCTTCAAGTGCTCCTAGTCCATCGCCAGTTGTAGATGTTGTTTTAATCGATGGATTATTTTTTTTTGCATCTTTTAAAAGATCTCCGGTAAACCTTTGAGCGATTTTCTGAACACATCCTCGGCAAGATTTGTGCTGTGTCAGCGAGAGAAGTAAGTACATCTTACTTTTGACAGATAGTTACCCCTTCCATGAAGGACGCAGAACATGATCGTTGGGATCAAAATAAGGAAAGATTACAATCCTACTCAATTTTTGTTTCCACTCAGAAGCAGCCTGCAAATTTCATAAAACCACTTCGCAATGATAGCTCAAAGCCTCTCTTATAGATTACTTATACCGTTCATAGGCAAAAAAGACCTGTTGTGCTTTACTTGGAAGGAAAGTTGTGTTTGCCACATATGAAGATAAGTGCTACAAATTTGTGACAAGGGAAGATGATGTGGTAAAAACTGAATTGTGCTGCAGCCACTAAGAGGCAGATTCTCGAATAATTTACCATCTTGGTAAACTACCAACAAATAGCGAAGTCATTATTAGCGCTTCCGATATGGATATTGCTGTTATTGCTTTGGGAAATGTAAAATTGACGCTACCATCAAGGTATAGATGGAAGTAGGTCTCTTTTCCAATAACACGCAGAAATTCATAAATCTTCGAGAGATGTTCGTGAATTTGGGTGTTGATGTGTGTAACGCGCAGGGTAAAGCGTTACCGGGTTCCCACGCATTTACCGGATGCATGACTTGTGTATGGTCCTCATGGTTTAGTTCATCGCAATTTGGGCGAATGCCACCGAAAAATGTCTGAGTTTCTACAATCCGTTTGATTGAAGTGGATGGAACTATGTGAATCAGAAGTTTAGAATCAAATGGTTTGAAAGATCTCAGTATTCAGTATCCTATCGCTATCTCTGTTGGTTATGCTCTCGCGCGCTTATCTCTCACACGCTCGCACTCGCTGGGATTTACTATACCTAAATTTTTTAACTTCTAAGACGTCTGCCACTATTAAAGCTACACTTAATATCGTCTGCCAGGATATATTTTAAAGTAGTGACAAAAAGAGGAATCTTTTATGCATAATTTTTATACGGTCCTCATGGTTTAGTTCAGGAGTGTTATTCCCTACATTGGAGGGCGGTCTTTCGCTACCAACGCTGCACTTGAAATCTTCTGCCATAGCATATCTGAAAACTATGGAAAAAATGGGATTTCTTGATACAAATCTTTTCCGTGACCCTTATAGTTTGGTAATTTAGTTGATCACCTAAAGAAGTCACCTATTCAGCGCCGCCCCAAGTTAATGCTGCCACTTACGACTGGCAGACGAGTGATTTTATTATTAGTTTTCAACGTACTTTCAGCCTGTATTGTCGAATTTTTTGTCGCTTATGGTTTAGTTACTATGTACGCTGCCTCCCGGTCTATAGGGTTACACTTGCCGATTTTTTAGATGGCACTTAGGGGTTTATTGTTATTCTCTTAATTGCTTTACACTTCCTTCTTAATACCTACCTGATAACGGTGTTAAAATGAGTTCATATCAAAACGAAGTGAATACAACAAATTTTCTGTAGGTACGTCAACTTTTTCGTCGTTTCGTACTATTTTAAGGGAATGTTTGCAATAAATAACCATAGGAATTACCTCGGATTGTAACTAACATAATTGATGATCCATACTTGAAATCGCTACCTCCCAGAGATCTGAACAGTAAATTTCTGCTGCATTCTGTCAGTCTATCGACATGTGTCCGGCAAAACCGGTAACCAATTCAACTTCACGCGAAAAATGTTCAAATAAAAATTCATTTCCCTCTGGCACAGCTGGGATGACTATTAAAATTCCAATTTCCAACCCTCCTATCGCATCAAAAAATCTATTATCATCCTTATAGACACAGAATGGAGCAGCATCTTTAATGCAAATTGTCGTTTACGACAAACTTGGTGATTTTGCACTCGCACTCGAGGAATTGGCAGTGTGGTACAGAAACAAACAAACGGAAATTGTGGTGTTTATTGATTGTCGTTAATCCAGTAGGTTTAACAGGGCAATGCGATGTTGCGCTGTTTGCAATTTCTCACCCATCCATCCCAAGCCTGAAATCCCATTTCACCTTGCACTTTCTTCGCGCAGGCAGAATCGTCCACTAAATTTTCATTTAATAAATCTAAAAAAGAGCAGTTAAATAAGGTGTGATGACATAAAATTTTAGTGGGCCCTGTAGCTATTTGACAAAAGAACTCTTTTTTAAAGGCCAATTTGCATTACCTTCGCATTTCATGTCACATTTTCCGCCAGTTTTTCCATACTCGCACCATCCTTTGTCGTTGATCTGGAGAGAAAGAGTGAAATGTGTGATCATAAAGTTCAATAAAATTATGTAAATTAGTTTATACAGAGACAAGAAACGTTTCGGCTTCACTTGTTAAGCGCCTCCGTTTTTGTTTTTTATTATTATGGTCCCACTTTCTGCTGACACTTAAAAGTTATTTACCTGAAATAATCCCAAATTTTTGCTTCCGTTGGCTTTCGCGTATACTTTGCTTGTGTCTTTTCCACTTTCGCTTTCAATCATGCAGACCCCTGAAAACAAACATTTTACGTTTAATAAAACAGATAATTTCACGTGTGGTATTTCAGCGACAATTCAATGCGATTATTCAATGACATTTGTCAAACTTCCACCAGTGAAATGACGCGAAATTTTGTCGTATTAACCGGAACATTCTTCTTAGTTTGTTAATCAATTTCGACAACCGACTTATCACCACATCTTTTAATTTAATCACTCATAACGAATTAGCTTGGAGCACAAAAGTTCGAATAGAATCAATAGCAAAATGAAAAGCAACTTCCATAATTTATTTTGACGTTTATTGTTGTCATGGAAATACATTCGCGTGGGTAATTATGCTTAATTTTTCTTTTGATTCATTGAATAGTCCTCCGAATACCATTCGTAGTCGAAGTATTTGTAGATTATTTTTGAGCTGCTGCTCCACTCATGCTAGTTACGCTTTTTAATATAATAATTAATCAGCGTAACTAGCATTCGTGACAGCACCTCAAAAATATTCGACAATACTTCGACTACTTATGGTATTATACAGGGTGATTCCTATAGTACCTGCCACCGTTTGGGAGCGTATAGGGGGTGCCTAGGGGAGTATTTTGATATAGGACACTTGGGGTCGGAAATCTAAAATAAGGGCGCCAGAGCCAAATTTATCTTCTGGAATTTCACGCCTGTATGTAGGCAACCCAACCGACCGACGTTTCGCGCGGAGCGATGCAGAGCGAGTTAGCGCGAGGAAGCGACATGGGAGCGCGAGGAAGCGACATGGGAGGGAAGGAGGGAAAACGACAGTCAAAAGCAATATCGTTTACAAGTGTTCAACGTGGCCACCGTTGTTCTCAATGCACTTCCTACATCTAGCCAACTATTATTATACTATTGCCATAGTGTTTATTCACTTGATACGCGTCGTTGCAGACGGGATTTCGTGGGTTTAAACAAAATTCTGATCAAGTGTCAGCCACACATCGCCGCCTAAGATCGCTCCGTGTGCACCGCCGGCCGGTTGGGTTGCCTACCTACAGGCGCGAAATTCCAGAAGGTAAATTTGGCTCTGGCACTCTTATTTTAGATTTCCGACCCCAAGTGTCCTATATCAAAAACTCCCCTACGCACCACCTACACGCTCCCAAACGGTGGCAGGTA